CCCTCCTGCCTGAGTTCTTTTACCGAGGCGGAGGGGAGCCGTGAGCGGGGCGAGCCGGGGGGATGACCTTGTGATGCGAGCGCTCCAGTGTGCAGCGCCGGCTCTGGGAGGGAACTCACCATTGCCCTCTTCTTTCTAATGCTGTCATCCCTTAATGGTGCACTCGTCATTACAGTTACCTCTGGTGACGCCACTGGCTTGATTGCCGGGGGATAAATAGGAGCGTCTGCCGGCCGGAAGATGAAAGGAAGAGCCGGAGCGAAGAGTTAAGGGGGGCCGGGGAGGAGGGGAAAACGCACCAGGTGTAACCAGTGCTGGGGAAGGAGGCGGGAAGCAAAGCGGGCAGGAGAGAGAAGAGGCCAAAACCGCGCCTGCCTCTTCGAGGTCTTCACCTGAGAGGCCAGCCTCCTTCAGGTCCAGTGGTGCTGCGTGCCTGGTTTTCACGACGCCCGCCTTGATCCGCCACGCGGGAGGCGTTTCGGAGTGGCGTCTCTCCAGATGTGAAGAAGATATCCCCAGGTCGCTGATTCCGAAGGAGTTCTATCTTTCTAGGTGGCACAGGCCAATGGTTTCCAAGATGCCCTCGAAAACTAGGTTCAAGCCTTCCATTCATGATGCTCGAGATGGCTTCTTGTGGTTTGTTTGACCCCTCTCCCTCCTCCCTTCTCTTTCGAAGGCATCATTGGATTTCAAGCCTTTGGGCCATCTGGCTGGAACTCTAGAATTAGGAGCAATCCTGGGAGGAGGACAGATTGACTAATGTCCTGCCTCCAGTGCTGATGAAGGCTAATGATAACTTTATGTATATGCATTTTACATATACATAAAACATGTATGTGTCTTGCTTTAGGATGGAAATCGATCAGAAGGTGATTGACACGTTTTGACGCCTAGAAAGAATCAACTGCCAGCTCCTAATTGGAAACGTCAAAGGACTAGGCAGATCTGTGTTTGAATGTATAAAGTTTAGCGGACCAAGTTTTGTAGACGTTTTTCTCGCAAATGTACTCAACTTACTTTAAGATACACAACGATTTAAAGGCTTGTTGTTGTTTTGTTCTTCCTTTGCAGGCAAAAAAACCCACAAATCGTACGTGTTTAAGAGCCATAGAATAACACCTCACCCTTAAACCTTCCTTTGTAAGTCACTTGCTCTTATTACTATTTTTTAAAAAATCCTTCTCGCGTTTAAACTTTCGTTCAATAATGTTTCTAGTCCGGTAAACAATTTAGGGGTATTTTTTGAGGGGAATCGTGCACAAAAGCAGTCTGAAGTTTTAAACAAAAGCTACAAAACCAAATTTCCCTCAGTCTAATATTTTGAAGAAGCTGGGTTGGGATGAAGAATGGTGATTAGGAGTATTGTAATAGAGTAGTGACACTAATGAAGCAAATGTGTTTCTGGCACAAATACCGCTGCACTGTGACTGACAAATAGAGAACAGGTTATAGAAGCAGCTGAAGGAGCTGCAAAAGCATTTACTTACTGTAAAGATGTTTCATTTTGATTGCTCGCAGCCTTCAGATATGTCCTCCCATTTTGTTCTACCCTCTTTAAGCCCACCTCTTTGTATTCAGAGGGGTCCTGCAATCTTCTACCACTCCAAATTAACAATTCAGTTTGGCCTTGAAGTTTGGATAATGCCCTGGCTACAGTCTTAAATAGGCAGAGTCGTGCCTGTTTCTTCAGAAATAATTCATGTTGAATTTGGTGGGACTTACTCCCCAGGAATTGCATATAGATTTGTTTCGGGAAAGCATCGTTTAGGCTAATGGAGCAGGAAGGCTTGGCCCCTAGATTGGGGGCATTTATTATTCATCTCCAAGTATTATCTGCGGCCAGTGTAAGGAAAAATGACTGTGTTTTAAGGCAAGACATTTGTTTTAAGTGAGCTGCGGGAACGCTGCAACTGCAAGGAGCAATTATAAACGGATCTCCAGAATGGTTGGAGAGCAGAGGCGCTTTGTGCTAACATCCACAGTTGTAATGGTAGTGATGCTGGTGGGAGACTAAGACACTTTTTTGAGGGAAAGACTCGCTAAATTCACTGAGTCTTAATTCCAGGTGAATTAAGTCCTAACCTTTTAGGGCTGAATGGGGTAATAAACGGGTCCTCAGCGTCTGGGTTAGCCAGCTGGTTGCCCTTAAAAAGCACTTCCATTGTGATTTTTAGCTCTCTCAGGGGCAAAACTTGGATGCTGGTTCTTCCCTGAGGGAGAAATCAAGGTAATGCCCATAGAGCAGTGGAGATGTGTAGTACAATCATTCCTGGATGTGCAAAAGTGGGGCAGTGTGCTGTCTTGGGCTTGAATGTAGAAAAGCGAGAGGGCACAGAAATAGCTGTCTTTCCCAGTGTGCAGAAGTGGAGCAAGGAGGCAGCTTTCCTTTGCCTCTTCATCCAGCAAGCCAGAACAGGATCTCCTGCCCACTCGCTATTGGTCCCCACTGTTGGTGCATCAGCTGGAGAGATGGAAGGGAAGTCATGTCAAGGGGAACTCAACCCCTCCAGTCATGCCACATGGAAAATTGGGCCCCCAGGCTGGGTGAAACGTCTCCAAAGGGAAGAAATCAAGACTGGGCAGAAAATAGGTCTTCCCGGTCTCCTGTCTTCCATGGTCACCCTAGAAGTTCTGGCTCCTTTGGAAGGATGAGGTGGTGCATGTCCTCTGCATTTCTGAATCCCTCTCTCTAAGCTGCTTAGGGCTTAAAAGTGTCAAAATTGCTAGGAGGAGTTAATTCTCATTGATTTCTGGAGGCTTCAATAATGGACCTACTCATTTGTACGGAGCAAATTGGCATCAGTTTCATTAGCAAGAGGAAGGACATTGATGTCTTCCAAGGGGAATCCTCAAGAACACTTCTGCAGCCACATTGGCACTTAAAATGCTGGGTTAATTGGAGGATAACTTGGCTAGAATTAGAAACCTGGCCCCACCAAATGAAATATGCTGAGATGAAAGCAGCATTGAGAGGTGTTCACACAAATCTCTTATACAACATACATCACTTGCTTTCAGAAGGGATAATTTAGGAGGGAGAGGGAATGTGTAATTTTTCTGCCTACCTTTGGATCAGAAATTCTCAGAAATACCCTGAAATACACCAGTAACCAAGATCTACATTGCCAATGGCTAGTAAAAGGGGACATGACATTAATTCTGGCAAGAAACTAAAAGCAGGGCTTATTCGTGATGTGTTAATACCGTACAGAACAGGAGGCTGAAATCCACGTGGACTGTTAGACATTAATATTTCTGCCTCTCTTCCTCTCACTTTTAATGGATTCAGATTTGATTGATTTGTTCGTCTACTTGTTATTGCAGTTCTGCTTTATAAAGGCACACAGGTCCTAAAAAATAAATAAAGTCCTACAATAAGGTCCTGGAAAAAAAATCATAGGGCAGAATTATATTAATGGAAAGTAACTTAAACTATTCCATGTTCCCATATATATGGCTGGTTGGCACTCTGGTGGGAAAGAATATGATTTTGTCCTAAGCTTGGTTGAGAGCCAGGCCTAAACATGCACTTTGCTGATTTGAAATGTGAAAAGAACACTCCCTCCTGCTGTTCATTGTAAGCCTTACGTTTATTTATTTGTATTAGTCCGATTTGTATCCCACCTCTCCTTCAGGAGCTCAAGAAGGCTTCCATGGGAATCTCTCTTCATTTCATTCCCATGACAGCAATCCTGTAAGGCCCCAAATCACCCAGTGATCATCCATAGCTAAGGAGGGATATGAACTTGGGTCTCCCCTGTCCTAGTAATAATTTTACTATGCCATAATGGATGATGCCTTCTTAAAACACGTAGCAATCCTAGGCCAGGGTTCTTCTCATTTTCAAAGAGGCTCCCAAATTGGCAGTTCCTTCTATCTGAACTAGCAATATATTGCCCATTAGGAGAATGATTTTAACCAGAATTGCCCCTTGATTCTCTTGGATTTATGTTATACGGTGAGATTAAGTGACCTGAGAAGTCTCCTCCACCCCAGGTCCCGCCCTGAATTCTGACTTGAAGAATTTGTCCACAAGAAAACGTCTGGTCATTCTAAACCTAAAAATTTCCAGTAGAGATGGCTTTGCCCTGGACCCTGCCCAGTGCTGAAACAAATCCCAGCAAGCCATGGGTATCTTGAGAAATATCTCTATGCTTTGAAGTTGATTTTCATTTCATCATGCCCTCTCCATTCAGAAGGAAGACCCATTTTGTTAAATGGGATTTATTCTCAAGTAAGTGTGTTTCAGAGTACATCTCAGATCCATACCTAACAAACTGTTCTTGACACAGAAGCTTACACAGGTGTGCAACTGAAGATTTGCAAAACTGTGGGTAAGCTCATGAGTTTTCAAGAGTAGTTCATTGGGCGCAGATGTACTCCTAGATATGATTTTTACACCTTATAGCCATGCCAATTTGATGGCTCTCTTTCTATGCTTCTCGGTGTGCTTTGAACAATTCAATTGTTACATAGGAAGTTTATTAGTTGAACTGTAGTGTTGTGGTTAAGATGTCAAACTGGGATACCAAGGTTCAGTTGTCCACTTATCTGTGATGCTTACTGAGTGATTTGGGGCTAGTCAGTATGTTTCAATACAACCCACCTTGCACAGTTGGTGTTGTGGGGACAAAA